GCTCTTAACCTTTAGGCTGAGGAGCAAGCAAGATACATGGCACCTTTTTCCAAAAAATAATTTAAGCACAGCAGGCCATGTTGTAACACTACAGTAAAAAAAACAGCTTAAACTGAAAAACTGAACAACTTTAACATAAGCACAACTTGAATCATTTAAGTCCATGCTTATGCTTCACGTTGGACAACGTTTTGTACAACTGGTGTCCATGAAGATCCCACTTGTTGGAACTGCAATTAAGCTCTTTATTGGAAGGGGGTTTGTAAACTTTGTGTATTGTCCTACAGCCTTTTTGTTTGGAAAAACAATCAGTTACATTAATCGATCCACTGATAAAGTAAATGAAAGATTAATACATTGATAAAGTCAGGAGCAGCAGCCCAAAAGACAAACAGCTTCCTATTAACTATGTTAGGTCACTGTATATTAATAAAAAAAAAACATACCACTTTTATTAAGAGCATTTTCAGAAGCTAGGTGTCCCTAGACTTTTGACCTGCATTGTATGGCTCATGCCGCCACACCTTGTCATCAGTGTTGGAGCACTTACTAGATTTCCTTTTTTGTTCCATAGAAGAGACTAAAATAATTAAGAGGTCACAGGATCAGTCCAGTCTGGTAACTCATCACTCAGCTGAGACCTGAGCTTTGGTCACCTCACATAACCCTGCTGTGTCCTCATGGCACAGAGTCTTTATTCTCCCCTCAGCTTAAACTATCTCCCCACTCCTCTTCAAGGGCATTGCTCCATTGATCCCAGCCTCTTTGGAGATCACTGAAGCTTCACACAGTTCTCTCTCTTTTTCCTCCCGTCTCTCTCCCGGATGGCTAGGGGTTGGGTGGGGGCGTCAGAGCTCATTTTTCAGCTGTTCCCCGTGGACAGCCTAACACTGTGAGTAAAGGTTAGAGCTGACGCCCTTATCAATAAGTCACCGCCTCTGCTGAGGAGCATCTGCCCAAAGACTCTGCAGCGCTCCCACGGGCACAGGAGAAGGCTAATCAAATGCACAAAGCGGCAGGAAGGAAATAAATAATATCTCCAGTGATGATGTTAATGCCATCCTTTCTTCTGCAGCTGTATTTCTGGGGAAGGTGGACTCATTGTGTCAGAAAGGCACTAATTACCAAGTGATCTGCTTATCTGGCCTGACTCCAAAGAAGGAATTATCAGGAGAACTAGGAGATCATTGTTTCTTCTTCCTGAGCAGGACGTAAATAATTAATCGCTAAAGTCAAATAAATGCTGGTAATGGAAAAAAAAAAGTTTGTGTGTTGTTTACTTATAAACAAAAGCCATCCTATACTTCCTACCATGTTACTGTGCTACTACAACAGTCTGTGATACACTATATAAAGTGTAGGGTGTGATATAGTCAGGACAGCTGGCCTTCGTCATGGAAAATGGGGGTTTTGTTGCTCAATACTGTTAAGAACTGCCTACTCTGACAGATTTGACTGACTACAGGAGGTTGTTTTGTGTGACGTGTAAGGGTAGATTATTGTTAACATGCTGAAACAACAAAAACAGATCTGCATGAAACAAAGACAAACAATGGGATTCCATTAAGTTCACAAACTTAATTTTAAATTCAAGAACTGTTATGGTGTGGAGAGCAGACATATGTTTGCTTATTGAGGCAGGGCTTGCATTTTGTTTGGTAAACAATATTTGTTTCTTGTCCAACTGATAAAACCCTGAGCATAGAAGTTCGTACACACAAGCATGAGAACAGCCAATGGGAATGCACATGAGAAAGTCAAGGGAAATGTAAGGGAATTAAGCACCTGAGTTGTAATTGAGTTGAGTGTCTGAGGCTGAAACTAGGGGTACTATGACTTCAACTGACTTCAACTGACTTCAACTGACTTCAACTGACTCTTTGAAGTATAAAAGAAGCAGCCACTTGGGGCACAGATGACACTTTGGGTGGTGGGGCGAAGTGAAAGGAATCTCCAGTCACTTTGTTAAATAACAGTATTCAGATTGATAAGTTGCAGCCCTTTTCCAGACTTGTTTGAGTAACAGTAGCCTAGAACTGTACACATTTCTCTGTTCCAAAACATGGGCCCTATTCGACTGTATGTTCCCACCATGCATGAAGCTGGATTTGAAATTTTCTGTTTGATGAATCTCCGATGTAGTAATGTACCCACATTCCAACTGCCAAGATCAACAACGTCCCACCACATATTACCAAATCATCCACCCACCTCACCTGAACCCACCTAATGCCCACTTCTCAACCCCTCTATGAAAATGACTGATGCAATATTACGGCTCTCCTCTCTGTGCTTGGTTTGCAGTAACTGTCAGTTGTGGAACGACGTCTGGCTAATCTGATTTTTATGACCATGACTGTATGGATTATTGAGATGCTTTAATGCTGAACTGGGTTTGCTAAAAAGCCAAAGCTGACTCTTTTTGAATGTTAATGTGGCGATGAGAGTAATGAAGCATCAACCACTCTCTCTGTCTGTCTCTCTCTTTTTCTCTCCATCTTTTTCAAAGAAAAGGGCGCAATGTTTGGAGAAATTTTTAGCAACATAAGCATCCATAATGGGAGAAAAAAGAGGCAAAGAGGCAGAGAAGGAAGGAGAAAAAAAGAGGGAGAGAAGGAAAGAGAAAAATAAAGAGGCAGAGAGAGACATGAAAGAAAAGAGGCAGAGAGGTGGGGGGCAGCGAGAGAGAGAGAGAGAGAGAGAGAGAGAGAGAGAGGAAAGAAAAGAGAGGTAGAAAGGCATAGATGAAAAGAAGAACAGAGAGGGAGAAATGAAAAAGGCAGAGAGGCAGAGAAGAAAAGAAACAGACAGAAGGAGAGAGGAAAAGAAAGGCAGAAAGTGACAAAAAGAAAGAAGAGAGGTAGGGGTAGATATAAAAAGAAAGGCATAGAGGGAGAGAGAGGAAAAGGAAGGCAGAGACAGAAAGGAAAAGAAAGGGGCAGAGAGGGAGAGAGGAAAGAAAAGACAGCTAGAGAGACAGAGATGAAAAGAGACAGAGGCAAAGAGAAAAGAAAGGGGAAGAGAGGAAAAGAAAGAGAGGTGAAAAGAGAGTGACAGAGAGAGAGAGGAAAAGAAAAGCAGAGAGAGATGAAAAGAAAGAGAGAGGAAAAGAAGGAGAGGCAGGGAGAGAGGAAAAGAAAGGTAGAGAGAGAGAAATGAAAAGAACAAGAGGCAGAGAGGGAGAGAAAAAGGAAAGAAAGGGGCTGAAATAGTAAGGAAAAGAAATAGGCAGAGATGAGAGAGGAAAAGAAAGAGGCATAGAGAGAGGAAAGAAAAGAGAGTGAGAGAGGCAGAGATGAAAAAAGAGACAGAGAGGCAGAGACAAAAGAAAGGGGGAGAGAGGAAAAGAAAGAGAGACAAGTGAAAAAAGAGACAGAGATGGAGGAAAAGAAAAGCAGAGAGAGATGAAGAGAAAGAGAGAGAGGAAAAAGGAGGAGAGGCAGGGAGAGAGGAAAAGAAAGAGAACAAAAGGAAAAGAAAGAAAGGCAGAGAGAGAGAGAAAAAAGAAAAAAGGTAGAGAGGGAGAGAGGAAAAGAAAGAGGCAGAGATGGGCAGAGTCTAAGTGAGTTGGAGATTAAAAAGGCTTTTAATCTCGTCTTGCTTGAGAAGGAAATGTTGAAAGATTTTTTTCTGCAGGAAGAAAATCTCAACACCACCGCACGGCTGAGGAGGGCCAAACACTTTACTACTGCCTTCCGTCATCACAGACTCCGATTACAGACTCCAGAAGAAATGACGAGTGCATGGCCCATATGCACTTTATGCAGCATTGAAAAGCGTCTGTTTGCTTCCATACTTTTCTCAGATGTGCTAGATCGTGCTTTGACAATTTTCTAGCTGGGAGTGGAAGACGCCTGCCAGTCTAGTTTAAACATAAGGCAGACCGAGTGCACTGAGTAAGGCTCAAGCAACCAAGCCACTGAACACAGACTGAGCAAAAATGCATTACTCTCAAAAGCATCTAAACTCCTCTTTTAATTACTCCTCTTCTAATTAATGAATGCTTGGGCTACTTTAAGGTACACCCATGCTGACATAAGTGTTCATCTGTGCACACAGCTTGTAAAATCTCCATACAACAATAGCACTGTCAAAAGAATGAGACACTTTGGATCACCCATGCATGAGCCTAAGGTCACCATGTCCAGTGCCAAGCCTCACCTAGAGGGGTATAAAGTCTTCCAGCACTGGGCTGTGGAGCAGTGTACATGTGTTCTTGGGAGTGATGGAGCTCCATCCATTACCTCTGAGCTACAGTGGCATTTGTGACCCAGAACCAATCATTCAACATCAGTACCTGACCTCACTAAAGCTCTTGTGGTTGAATGCACTAAAATCTTCACAGCAATGTTCCAACATCTAGTCTGAAGCCTTCACAGAAGATTAGAAGCTGTTGCTGTAGGACAAAACAGGGACAAACTCCCTATTTATACCCTTAATTCCAACAAATATGTCTTTTGGATATACAGCGTATGTTACATTCTACTCTTTCCAAAGAAAGGAAAAGGAAGGAAAAGAAACAAAGGCAGAGAGGGAGAGAGGAAAAGAAAGAGGCAGAGATGGAGAGAGTTTAAGTGAGTTGGAGAGAAAGTGAAGTCTGTTGTTTTACTTAAAAAGGCTTTTAATCTCGTCTTACTTGAGAAGGAAAATGTTGAAAGATTTTCTTCTGCAGGAAGGAAATCTCAACACCACCGTACGGCTGTAGGACAAAACAGGGACAAACTCTCTATTTATACCCTTAATTACAGAGCAAACAGGTGTCTACAAATACAGCTTTTGGACATACAGTGTATGTTCCATTCTATTCTTTTCAAACCCAACTACAAAGGGCTGTCACTATGGCATATGTGACAATGGGCTGAAAATGAGGGAGAAAGAGAGTGAGAAAGTAGAAGAGAGATAGACTAAAAAAAGATAAGACAACTGTGGTAGAGAAGTGTGACTGTTATAAGGCATACTGAAAAAGTGAGAAAGGATACATGCATGTATGCATGTCTCACCACTTCACGAGGCAGAAAGGCGTCCTCTTGTCTGACGACGAGAAGACTCACAGTGCCTCCCATCGGAGTGGAGCGGAGCAGAGCGACCACCTCTTCCTGAGATTTCCCATTCAGATCCACCCCATTCACCTAAACACACATGCACAAAATAACACTCAGAAAACAGTGCAACAAAAAGTACATACAAAAAAACATACGTGAGCTATACTGGCAATTAAATTAAACTCTAGCAGTTTCCACTGAAATTAAAGTGCTCTGATGCACCTCCAGTGGGAGCAGCCAGGTAACTCATATATTCATTCTTAGCAAACAAATGTGTTAATAATAGTTACTAGGTTGAAAAAGCTTTATAAAACGTTCACAAAACTGCCACTCAATCTAAAGAGAAACTGTAACACACAACTCAGTTATTAACCTCAAACATTTATTTTACATGTGTGTGAACACTCACACTGTGAAGACAGATTAATCTGTAACTGAATGCTTTCCTAACTTTATACAAACTCTGTGGCTTATCATTTCTTCATATGATTTAATCTTTTCTACATCACTGTACCAGCACTGACACACTTCTATCATACACTTTCAGTTTTTTTACTCATCAATTTTATGCATCAAAGCAACATGGTGATGCAATACAACGTAAGAAAGCTTTAAACCTCGGGATTCAATTCCCATAAACCATTTTATAATCCATTATTCACAGCCATAACGATCATCTCATTTGCATCATAAGCACCAAATATGTAGCAAATCTGAAAGATAAGGGTTGTGCTGTGGCTCAGATGTCTTTGTAAGGTAAAGTATGCTAGCAAACCTAGAAGAACAGGCAGTGATCAGTTTAGAGATCTATGTGTCAGGCAGAAATAAATGCCTCCATTCTAGACTCTGTTATTCTGTGTCAGTAATTCATACAGTTATTTTGATGGTTGGGGGAAAAAGGAAGTGTTAGCTTTCAAATGAGATCATGATCTCATGATCTATAACAGTAGCCCAAACAGGGAACAGTGAGGTCTTGTTTCAGAATGCCATTTCAGGCAAAAACTTGAAAAAAGGGGCAGAAGTTAAGAGGTTAAAGATTTCCACCTGTATTTGTCACTCTCTGTCACTATAAATGAGTAACAGTGACACAGCCAGAGACACCAAATTGTCGCAGTTTCAATTTTTGCTGTTGCTAAAAATGGCAAGTATGATGAGGAAAATGTTACTGACATGTCTTTTAGAGAAACTTCACCCACATTAAAACAGCTGAAGCTGGTGCTTAGCCCATCAATCAGAAACTTAGTTTAGATATTTACGCATTTTACATACATACAAAATAAAAATCACTGCACATTAACAGACTCAAAACATACACACTCTGACAAACATGAGTTGTGTCGTTTAGTTTCTTTTTAAGTTAAATACAATTTTTGCCAGTATTCTGTAAAGCTTTCTCAAGTTTGCAACAATAGCTAAGATTTGGAGTCAGTGCAAGAATAGGTAGTCCACTAGAAAGGTCTTGGTGTATATATGTCTTGGAGAACAACAGAGTAGCTAGAGGATGCTTGTTTTCTTTGGCTCTTGACCTCTGGCTTCCCAAACAGGGAAAATAGAGGCCGTTAACATGTTCCTGGCGCTGTCCATCTCCTCCATGGCTCCCTAATCACTCTTGCTACTTGTGTCTCCTTTGTACTTCCAAAGTGACAAACCTTAAGCTACTTGCTCTTTTGCCACTCTAATTCACACTCCCTGTATTCATGAATTATAATAATAGAATTTCACACACAGGTTTCACAGGTGCAGGTTCAGTGTGCAGTTCACAGCTCTCTGCCTGAGCTCCTGGATCGTGCACTAAATCAGTAAACCAGTGCAAGCATTCTGTACTGTGAAGTGAACAACTGATGCAGAACATGAGCGGTCATGTGCCAAAATCCTCTCACTGATGACCTACTAGCCAAATCACTGGACTTAGATCAGTGGAGATGATGTAAATGCATACGAAGGTTTATTTAAAGCTTAAAACAGGACCACGCTCTCAGGTATTTGATACAAAGTGCAGTTGTTCACTGTTTGTTAGTTGATCACTTCATCTGAGTATTCATAAACTAATGCTTAGAAGTTGCTGTGACCAATGACACGTGTTGTAATTTCACACTTTTTTCTCATGTGCAGCTCATTAAAACAATTAAAGAAACTCTTTTGAAATACAGATCCAGAATTTGAACGTCATGTAAACTGAATGTAAGCAAATTCAAGATATAAATAAAGCAAAATGATAAAAGAAAAATAAATAAAAAGAAAAAGCTTTAGATGAGTGGCTCCAATTAAACACTAGTGCACAAAATAGCAAGAGCTCAAAATTCACTTCTTTCCACTCATGCTTCTTGCCCCGCAACCTGCTGCTACCAAATCAAACCCAAAGCAGCCAAACGTGGAGGGAGGAGGGAGCGATAATTTACAGGCCAGCATGACTGCGATGATGCTGACGAAGGATGAGTGCATGCAGAGCAGCACGGAGATGGAGCAAGGTGACCTCATGACTCAGCCCCCACTCTGTGGTCCAGAATAAAGCTCTGAGTCAGCCTCCGCAGAGCGGGACCAGGCACCAGCCACTGCACCAGAGTGAGCAGGTGGCCCACTCTACCGCCAAATCAAATGGCCTTTGCTGATTGCCTGTCACTGTGAATCAGCCGTCACCTACAGTGCCTTTTTTTGTATTACGGTGAGGCCGGAGTGCTTGCGAGCAGGAGGAGCCAAAACAAAAGCCTGAAGCAGACTGAGACAGGATGTGCTCTGGAAAAACTGCTGTGGGGAACAGGAAGTAGGAGACGCATAAAGAAGGAGAGAGTGAGAGAGAATAATGTTTGTTTGAAAGCAACAGCCTTGACAGAAGCTTCCTGCTGCTCAAACTCATTCATTAGGTGAAGGAGTATGTGCTCATATTCTTTTGTTTTCTGATTGTACATTGTTTATTTAGCCTGCTTAATGTACCAAAAGTGAACAGGAAAATATGTGTGAGGGAATTTTGTTTTTATGCACCAAATAATTATATAATGACTAAATAAATGTACTAGTGGAAATTAGAGGCTCCACTACAGCACATAATTTTAAGACGGAGCTAAAGCTAGTTTTACAACTTTTATTTTTTCATGATTTTTGTGTTTTTACTTATTATGTTACTTCCTTTTATTTTGCTCACTTACATCCTTATATGTCACTTTATTGAATTATTGCTGCTTTTAGTGTTTCATGTGTGAATTTATATTTGTTATAATCTACTATAAACACATATGTATACTGTATCCCCCATAGAGGATGTATAAAACAAAGACATGGTTTGTGCAAGAAGTTATTTGTTATTTTATTTTTTTTACTCCTTCAATATGTTAAACTCAAAGAAATACAAACTGTACACTGAAATTTGCATAATGAAGTTTTTTTTTGTTTTTCTTGTTTTGATTTTCTTTCCCTCGTAGAGGATGTTTTAACTTATTTTCACTTACAAAATCAACAAAACACATAATTTGATCAGGGTTATTCAAGGTTTTGCATGAAAGGTGAGTGAAGTTGAATTGAGTTTGGAAAAAGGTCGGTACAGTGTAGTGGGTAACACCTCTGCCTTCTACGCTGCAGACTGGGGTTCAATCCCCTGCTTGGGCAAGGACCCTACACTATACCGATAAAGTCCTTGGGCATGACTCCTAACACTATCTTTGTCTACCTGTGTAAAAGATGTAAGAGGAAATGGAAGAGAAAGATGACAGGCTGAGCTCAATAGCATCCTCTTTTTTCACCTCCAGCAGGCAGTCGCCAGCCTTCAGGTGACCATCTTGGATAGCTGCTCCACGAGGGAGGATGTTCTTCACATAGATGGGGGCGGAGCCTCCGATGGGGACATCACGTGATGTAATACTGAAGCCCAGCCCCTCAGGACCTGCAGAGAGGAACAAAACACACAAAAACATTAACACAACATTGCCAATGTGCACCACTGTTCAAAGTGTGCAATCAATGTTTCAAAACTACAAACCAATTGCAGATAAATGTATGAAATGATCCTGATATGCCAGTGCTGACACCCAGAGACTGAGTAAGCTGCATAACATCGGGAATGAAAGTATAACAAAATTAATATCCAGTATGATTTTGTTTAAATAGCGAAATCTCAAATCAAATCTTAAAGGCAGGTAACTGCTTATTGCTTCCAAAATTCTGTTGTGTCTTTTGGTATCTTTCAGTATCTAGCTTATAATAATCACATAAAAAAAATATATATATATTAATAACAGTACAAAAAGTATTTGACTTTTTTCCATTCTAGAATCCATTTTAAGTGTTTTGCTTTGTCACTTATGGCATGCATGGTCCCTATGTCTCAAAATGTAATTATTATTCTCAAAAAGGACCAAAAGTAAGAAAAAATTTCAACAGTTCTCTGTATCATTTGGTGAAAACTGTGCTGTGTCTTGCTTTTCAAATCCGATACCATCACTGTCAATATACTGCTTCTCTAAAGCTCTCTCACAGGGCCATGACTTTCGTTCTAAATCCAACACTGTTAAAGGCATTATTTACTGGCCACAGTGAAATTACAGCCCATTCAAAAGCAGAAAAACTACTGTATCTAATAACCAATCACAGGCCATTAGAAACGCTATTTCAAATCCTTCATTTAGGGTCAAGAAAAAACAAGTGCATATACTCCAGTAGGGCGTGACTGCCCATATGTGCATTTATAAATCAAAACATACAGCATTCTAAACATACGGCCAAACTGCAAACCCTAATTAAATGCTTGAGGCCCGTCTGTGAGCAGGGTAGTGCCAAATTTAGCTCAATCCACAACTGTGGAACAGGCCTTATAAATGTAGCGGGATGGTTACAGTATATATTTAAGTCTCTATGCCAACTCCAAAAGGTCTAGCACAGGGAGTGTTAGCCACTCATTATGAGGCCAAGGTAATGCGACCTCTTTTGCATCTTTCCCCTCAAACTCAGCCTTTGATGGGGCTTGATGCACTGATGTATCAGGCAAATTGAGCTTTACGGCTTGCCACAGACGCTACTAAATCCCAGGGAAATGTTGTTAAGGGTTCAGGCGTAGGGTCTCTAAAGCAATTTGCTCGCCGTCCACAAAACGACCTTTTTGGGAGCGGCAAATGAATATAAATGGGCTGACAGTGAAGCTGGAGAGAGAAGAGAGCTCTGGTCAGAGAAGCGAGTGGACGGCAGCACTGACCTTATCATCACAGCAGCCTTGCATTACTCAGAGCGCAGACAAGGAAGCGAGACGATGCAAAGAGCGATAGGTGGGCCACAAAACGTGCATCTTCATTTCAAGTCACATTTATTGCCATCAGGTCAGCCTTGTTGGCTAGTTTGGCCACTCTGAAAGCAATGCTCTTAGACTTCTCAGCCCAGGGGGAGAGTAAGTGTATGCCACTAAAACAGAGTGAGCTGCTTCTGATGCATTTTTGCTGTTTGCCAAGCTATTAATTGTCCAAAGTTGGAATTCACCATTAAATCAGTGTCATTTTATTCAACTGTAAGTTGTGTATATCAAAATATCCTGAACTGAAGCCAAATTTTAACTAGGTTAGCTTAGTGGTGATCTGTCTTTTTTGTATAGTTTTGAAGTATTCTGCTAAGCTACTCGGCTAAAAGGCTAAGCTATTATCTACTAAATGCTGCAACAGGAGTCACTAACTTAAGCTTAGTGAGCCATACAATGAGCAATGCTGATCTATGGTAATTACTTATCAACTATACTGTCTCACATTTGATCATTTTTTTTTAAATACAGGGACACAAGATATTAGTTTTGCTTCAACTTCATTCTCTAGGATATACAGCTTTCACCATTAACTATGGAATCCTCTACCGTGACATACACTCCTGCGCAAATGTGAGAGACCACCCTTCATTTATTTTGTTTCCAGTCAAAATGGCCATCAGGTAATGCATCAGGAAAAAAGCAGAACACATGCATTCAACAGAAAATTACAAGGAAGCCTCAGCAGCAAAACGCAGTATCATTTTTTCAGTACTTAATGTGTCCACCTTTCATCTTTATTACATCTTCCTTTTTTCAGGGAGACTTGCTTTCAGTTTTCGAAAAAAATTTGCAGGCATATTTTTTGACACCTCCAAAGTTCAGTCTTAGATGTTTTCTTCTGTAATTTCTGCTTCACACGTTCCACGTAATCCAAAACACATTCAATGATGTTGAGCTCTGGACTTTGAGGTGGTCAGTTCATTGTTCTAAGAACACCAGCAGCTTCTTTCTTTGATCTGCTAATTTTCTTTCGACATTTTGTCTATTTCCTTTTCTCAGTAATGGCACGTCCTTCGCACTGAACTGGACAAAAACACCTATGGATTTCTTAAAATTTGAAGCAAGAGTATCTTGTTGGTCAACCAGGTCTTGCACGGTTGTCCAGTTTTCTCTATATCTTCTAATGGAAAAGTCCAGGTTTGGAAAGTCCTCTTTTTCTCCCACATATTTTCCCTTGACTGCCCTGTCTTATGCAAGTGGATCTTATATCTAATCTCCTCAGAAATGTCTTCTAGAAAACTAATAACTTTGCTGTTTGAATTAGAAACTTAAATAAATGAAGCGTGGTGTCTGACTTCTGCACAGCACTGTATGTCACGGCCACATCTAAAATTTTGTATTATTTATTTTGGTTGTTTTCTTTTTCCTACAAATTACTTGAAAAGTGAAGCTGAATAGAACAGAAATGTCATAATCATTTTCTGCATCAGAAACAATTTATTTTTTATGAAACAGTAACTCCAGATTTTTGAACAGTGCTGTACTTCTAGACTTCCAGCTGCAGCAGGGAAAAGATCTCCTTTAATAATGACCTGAGAGGTTATTACACATAATCTGATGTCCTTTATCCAACTCTTAGGATATTAGGAGAGTCCCCCACTAATGCTGTTCAATCAGGTAATTAGAGAACTGCATCCGTAACAGCCGGCCGCTAATTAATCACTGATGTCTACTGTTCTTTTTTTCCCCTTTTTTCTTCCCGGTAATGTGAATGAAAAATAATGGGGAAAAAAAAAAATGTTTTCCCTTTTTGAATTAGGCAAAAAGTCCCAGTTCCAAAAAGCTAATTAACTAGTGGCCATAAGGCAGCATGGCCTCTTAAAACTGAGGTGAAAATGGAAAGAGTGTTTTGGATAGTCCATTATTTGATTAGGCCACTTGGACTAATAGAGACAGAAGAGGGAGAAAAAGAAGAGAGTGAGCAAGCTATAGAGAGAAAGAGCAAGAGATTGGGCTCTGGCCATTAGAAATCCTATTTTAAGATGAAAAAATAATTAAAGATAAATCATCCAAGTGAGCCAGGCCTCAGCCGAGAGTGGAAGAGGCCCAAACTGGCCCCAAACATCGCTGTCCAGCAGCCAGCCAGGGAAAAATAGATACAAAACCAATCTGAGGGATCTGTACAAGCCAAGCATCTTAGTCCATAAAACTGGAATTCAAAACAAACTCTGAAACCGAGCTCTGACACAAGGAAAAAAAATATCTACGTTAATTCGCCCAGAATCCTGAAAGCTGTGCAGCCAGTACCGCTGTAAATAAAGACCCCGGGCTGGCAGGGAAATCTGCTGGAGCTGAACCAGGTCAGGCCTGGTAGGTCGTGCGGTTTATCCTGTACACGCCGGGTCAATCTCACTATCACCGCAGTAAACTGTGTGTAAATGCAGCTGTTGGTCATGGTGCTTGTTTATGGAGTGCCAGAGTGTGATGGCTCCTTCAGAGGTTGCTCAGATTAGCCTGTAACACGTACTGGAGCTGCCTCCATCACCTCCTGCCAGCCCTTCTTACCATGTGCCAGCTCCCTTATGTGTTTAACACTGAGTATTCTGCTGTACTGTCTGAATTTGGTTTGCTCTGGATCCTTACTAGAGCTATACATTATATAGTTTGTTAATCATTATCATAATAATGGACTTTGCATGAGAGATATTGCAGAGGGCTACAATATGCAAATGAGCCTCCAATCGTAATGGAATTTTTCCCTCCTGTGTGCTCACAATCATAGTTTCAGATGAGTTTGTGTGGGTGTTTTGATCCAGGTGTTCATGTATTCCAAATGTACATGATTTTGGTCAAAAATAGGCCCAGCCAATCTTTAACCATGTCACACTATCGATTCCAAATGCATCTCTAACACACATAGCAAATCACAATATGTAGGTATATTTCTAATACTATACAATACTTTTGTGATACTAATGTCTGTCCAACCTCTGTTTCTTTGATTTCAAGTCTTAATTGCTTTTTAATGTGTTGTACAGAGCTTTGGTCGACATTTGTTGTTTCTGAATACACTTTATAAATAAATTTGACTTGACTTGATGAAGTCTCATGCCAGAGAACCAGCAGTTAGCATCTGCTGCATCAGGAATAGACAAGCCAGCAGGCACAGCGCCATACGCTCATATTTTGCCATCTCTCTGTCTCTGTCTCTCTCTCTCTCTGTGTCTCTCTTTCTGAATAACTAGAAGGAAAAGAAAAAGCTATGAAGTTATGCATGCTTGAGTTCCAGAGCAGTGCTAGCTGAAATCACACAAAGATCTGCTTGCTTTCATAAGTAGCAAGTCAAGCCTGCAAACTCGAGACTATAACAGAGCATACAGAGAGAGAAAAACTAAGAAACGTGATTTTGCCATTATCCCCATTTTTAGAAGGCAGAAATAACAAAAATACTTTGGGTCACTTGTACGTATGCACTCTCGCCTTCTCTCTCACACACTGTTTGGGGCTAAAATTATTATTTGTAAAAATACTGTTAATAAAAGAGCATGTTTCACAATTACTTAAGACATTGTTTATATCTTGCAATTCTCTTTGCGAAAACTGCAAAACTAAAGGAAAACTGTCAAAAGTACTGCCTTCAGAATAATACCAAGCCATGTACATTTATCTCACTGTTGGAATGCCAATACATACCTTACAGGTGTTTTGGGCAAAAAGAGTTTCATAAGTGGACAGTAAGATGTATAGCGATCAGATTTTCTGATTGGAGAAAGGGTACCACACAGGGCCTTTTTTTATTGGCCGGTTTTTATTGGCCTAATCCAGAACTCATAGCAGTTGGGCTACAGAAACACAAGAAACACCCAGTCACATTTCCAGTAACCTGGCTCACATTATTTACCTTATAAAATTGCAGCACAGATCTGCCAAAATAAACATTTCAAAAAAATAACAACAATCGGCTGACTGCCAGTATCGTGTTTTGAGCAAAAATCTGACACTAGGTGCATCCCTAGTACCACATGTATATACAACATCAGTGCCTTGCTGCATTTCTTTTCAGACAAAAATATCTCACGACCTTGTTCATGTATATGTAAGAGCTGTTACGAATGTTTAGACTACACAGACTGCAAAAGCAATGGAAGAGCAGATGAAAAAAGAAGCTACATAGCTGCTTTCATCTCTGCTGTGATGACGCAGTTGGTAAGACTGTCCTTCATTGCTATTGGGAGGTTTGTACGCTGACACTTCAAATGTTTTGTGGTTATTTGTGATGGGCTCACTGTGGGTCTCACTGTTGGTTGGATCACCAAATGCCAAGTACCAGTGAGACCACAGACACACTATAGCGCATGCACACACACCCCAACACAAGAGGAAGTGTCTTTCCAAATGATCCTACAGTCCAGTGCATTTTAAACATGCAGGGCAAATTCATATTTAAATCTAATAGCTCCTTCCCGCCTGCAGCTGCTTTTTCAATTTCAGCAGCCCACCTTTGCACCTTCTGAACATTTCGCTAACCCCCTGGGATGGGTTGTCACAGGTTTGTTGGTTGAAGTCAGGGGTTTAATTGTTTCTCTGCTTCCCTTCTCTCTTACTGTACAAACTTATAAGGAGCAGTACATCCTTCTGGTTGACAAAGAACAAATTTGTCTCTTTCATCTAAACAAGCTGGAAACAGTGATTACAGCATAAGACGGAAGGGGATAGAAAGGGAGACATTGGTGTGTGTTGTAAAATATTTTAGAAGTTTCTGTTTGAAACTTGCCATAAATGAAGGTCAGAAACATCTCTGGCTGAGCAGCAACAGATAACAGTGTATACATGTGTGTGTGTGTGTGTGTGTGTGTTTGTGCGTGTGTGTTTGTGAAAGAGTAGAAAGTTGTACTCTCTTGCTAATGCTGACTCTCCGGTAGACGCTTGCAGTTCTCAGGCAGTGTGAAATGCCCAGATAGAGCTGCCATGCAGAACCAACAGGATTTGAAGCAGCAGGTAAGGCTGGCAGGAAGTGCTAAAGTCCACACTCGCTCACAATGGCAGCTATAGGGCTTTGAAGTGCTAACTGTATTAGTTACACAGAGCCAGTCACCACACTGACACAGATACCATCAGCTATTAAAAACAGCTGAAATCGGAGAAGATTTCAGAGGAACTGCTTCTATAAGGAGGGGGGATGAAAACCTATTACCGTTCAAAAGCTTGGAATCAACCTTTGGTTATTAACCATTTCCATTATTTATATATAAAAGTAACTTTTACAGGGCTGATTCAAATATTAAAATAAGGTATTTTTAGTTATTTTAATTATGTTCAATATCTCAAAAATATTGGGAACGAGAAGTTATTTAATGACAAATGATTCAAGTTACAGGTAATTTTTCAAGTAATCTGCCTCAAGATTTGATCTCCGCTTGTGATGCATGAGGCACTGTGGATATTAATTTTAGGTATACAGTTATACAGCTTTCTCAGTCATTTGGAATCATATATAGCTTATTCCAATATTCTGGACACATCTAAAAGTCCTTCATTTCTATTTACAGCTCCCTGGCTACTACTAATGATTTAAAACCTATGGAGTTACACAGGGCTAGCATATTATACTCATTCAATACATTTATCTACAGTCATTTGGTTTTATATCACTGATTCCAACATTTTAAAACAAAGATTCTACATTTTTGAATAGTCTAATACAGCAAAACCATCATATCATTATTTCTGATTTATTCTGCCAAGCACTCTCTTCTCTTACCTTTTCTCAGCTGCACGTTGAACTTGCGGCCAATCTTTTTAGAGAAGCCAGTGGAAGTGGTGGGTGTAGCTGTCTTGAGGGGTTGCGCTGGCCCCTCAAGTGGGGATTTGGCTGGTGGGGTGATGCCAACTGCTGGTAAGGTGGAATGAGCTTTACTCTGCTCTGGGTGGACAGGAAGTGGCTGGTGATTGAAATTAGGGTGTGGTCCAGTCTTGGACATTCTCTGAGGGCTGTAGTCAATGCTTCCCACGACCAAACTCCCCCGGTCCCCAGGTTTGGGGTCAGGCGTTAGATGGCTGGGTGCAGGCCCAGGTTTGGGGTCCGGGGTGAGCCCACTGGGCCCAGGACCTGGACCAGGACTTGGACCAGACTGTAAGCCAAACTCATTTTGAGAGAGTTGCTCATACAGGGGTTTCTTCACAGCTGGCACCACGTGAAACAGGATGAGTGGGGAACGCATGGCCTGCCTGAACAAGTTCTGTGCTCTGGAAGAGAGAAAAAACAAACACACACATTTTAAATATTTCATTTGGTAGGAAAAAAATGCAATTTAATCAAAGGGATCCATGGGGGTGTCACAGTTACTCAATTAAACTACATAACTCAAAAAGTCAAAAAGTTAAAAGTGACCACAAGGGGGCACTTTTAGCACTAAAGTGGCTTTTGCGTGCATCGATGGAAAGGAAGAAAACCACACCAGTAATTGTTTGTGACTACAACCATAAGCAGTGTAAGCAGTCAGAAGTATTCAATGAAGGAAACACTGAAACTGTGAAAATGCACCATTCAAAGTAAATGATATGTTGCTTTAACTTTCAAATATTCATGTTTAAGCAAAAAAATTATAAGTATTGTAGAACCAAGAGTGGGAAGTAAATGTCCACTGCCCCTAACTTTTAAGTGACCCTTATTAGTCCCACAATGGGGAAATTTCACCTCTGCATTTTGACCCATTCATGCAGTGAAACACCACATACACACTAGTGAATACACATACTAGGGGGCAGTGAGCACACTTGCCCAGAGCGGTGGGCAGCCCTACCCACTGCGCCAAAGGAAGCAGTTGGGGGTTAGGTGCCTTGCTCAAGGGCACTTTAGTCACATATTGTCGGCAGGGGGCAGTGAGCACACTTGCCCGGAGCGGTGGGCAGCCCTACCCACTGCGCCAAAGGGAGCAATCGGGGGTTAGGTGCCTTGCTCAAGGGCACTTTATTCACATACTGTCGGCTCAGGGGATCAAACCGGCGACCTTCCGGTCACAAGGCTGGTTCCCTAACCTCCAGCCCATGACTGCCCCCTTGTTGCCAACATGACACTGACAACCCCACACAGGCACTAGCGGAAATCAGCATTATCATGGCGGTGTAACTAAAACAAGAAAAAAAACTTAACAGATAAATAAAAAAATGTATAAAGTGAGGATTTTTGCTTTAAACACTGCTACATAATAATACTGATGTCATCATATTATATAAGATGATATATAATATAATATTATAAGGCATCCTATTGGAATCCTTAAAGGGTCTGCATAGTTTTCAATCAAATTTTCATTATTTGGCTGTTTCTGTAGTGACAGCCCCAGATCCAAATATAAACACAGCATGTAACAGAGCATTAGAGTTCATTAATGCACAGCTGCTATTCTATTTGATGGGTAAAGAAAGTATTATCCACAGTGTTCCCCGTAAAAGCTGAAAGGAAGCAGCACTTTGTAAGTTGTTTTGGTCTTTGCCTTTACTAAGACCTGAAAGATACAGAGTATGTAGTGATGTAGTAAAGATAAAGTGAAGGAAAAATAGTCATGTGAGTAATGGCACTCACACATATAGAGAGAGAAATACCCATGTGCGCATAAGCACACGTGAACACATGCGTGTGCGCGCGCACACACACACACACACACACACACGAGACAGAGAAAAGGTAATTGAATTATTTGATGGACATTTATGACATGCTATATTCCTCTCGTAGTGGAGACACTTGTCCTCAGTAGTAGGATATTTAAGAGGCAGACACACATAAAGGTCAGAAGATCAGCATGGCTAATCGCTGGCTAATTGCACTTCTGCAGCTGGAAACAGGGCTAATTCACAGATTACATTATCTACCATTAACATAATCGCAAAGCCTTGGGGAGGAAGCAGGGATATGCATTAGAGCCCAGGACCAGGATATGTGTCCACATGCACAGCGTGCAAAGTTCGGGAACCTGTCACTGGGGCCAACAAAACTAATCAAATGAAATCTAACTACCAAAGAGGAGGGGGAAAAATGTTCTTTCAGTTGAAGGAAAATAAAACAGAAATTTAGCAAATAAATAAACGAATAAATAAATTTTACTCTAAAAGTGATGAAATGTGAAACGAAATAGAGATATCATGTGAAACATGAGTCACCAAAAAAGGATCTGATCTATTGCCGTAAAAGAAGTCTCAATCATTGGTAGCAATAATAAAAGCATGGTTTCATATTAATTACTTTCCACTGAAAGCTCATTGAAATATGTGGAGAAAATGTGGTAAGTAAAAGTTATTTTATAATGATATGAGTTTGACGAAAAGTTATTGTGTATATAGTCTTGTTTTGTGAAAAACAAAACGACCTGAGAATTTTTGCCATGTTTTGTCATTTTTTGACACTGAATTAAACAGAAAAACTCAGCAGCACATACACAAAGCAGTCAGTGCAGAATAAAGCTTATATGTAAATGCAATTCATTACATAACTAGCTAAATAATTAATCGCATTGAAATAGTAAAGCAAAATGACTGATAAATCACACTATTAAGGGTTAATAGGAGAGGAGGGAATGTTTGTAATTTGAAGCCTTCTCCATAGAACAAGAACACAAAGGCATTTGAGAAAGAAAAGCGATTGTAAAAATCCCTTCACATGTTTGTGTGTTTGTGGAGGGAATAAACAGCTTCTGCTGCTGTAATAAACTCTTCATTTAAATCACTCTCTGCATCTAGAGAGTCAGCCAGCCTCATTGAAGGACCCCTCTTCATTCTTATGCTAATTCACCCCTCCAAAATCAAGCAAACAACAGTGTGTGTGCGCATCTGCGTGTATGCGTGTGTGTGTGTCTGTTAACGAGCAGAGCGGTGGCACGCAGCTAATCACGCAGCTCCCCGCCTCTGATTGAATAATAAACGACTCCATCAATGCATCATTACATTGAGTTAGATTAAGCAGCACTAAATATTTATCCATGCAAAACAATCCAATAAGATTAGAATATCTCTTTGAATTATAACTCCACATGCTACCCAGTCGGGAGGAGAGATGGGGAGAGGGAAAGCGAGAGAGACAAAGAGACAAAGCGAGAGAGATGGAATTAGATTATTTTTCTCATCTGCCGTATATCAGCATCTGATCTCTGTGAGGAGAATGAAGGGTATGCTGAGGCCACAGCATCACTACCGTGTGGACTAAGTTGGCAACGATTACTTCACAAAGACTATAAGTCGTAGACAACGTTCAATAAGGGGGAAAGAAAAAGCTGAAATACTGATGTGTTTTTATTTAAAGGAATACTTCATCATTTTTTTAACCTGCTGCGTCATTCCGAAAGTTTGAGGTACACTAACAGGAAAGTGTAGGAGGATGCCTCGTACAGTCGTGCTGCATCATAAAACTTCTAAAAATGCTGGAAACAATGCGAATCTTCAATAATAGTGACATTAAGACAGGTAAAAGTACACCAAAGAAGGCAAAACAGCACAGTTAGTTGCTTAATTGAATAATAATCGACAAGTTAACTGATTAGGCCTATTTAAAAATAAAAAGGTCACAGTCTTTTAGTCGTAGTCATAGTCTAGTCTATGAACTATGAACCCTTCAGCTTGGACGTCAACTAAAAAATGGGGAAAGTAATCTAGCTATGTGTAAATCCCTCTTTAAGAAAAACTGAAACACAAAATTAGTTGCATATCACTGCTGTCGAAACAAAACCTCGTATCACCATTATTTTTCAATTTTTGAAATAATTTGAAAGCGCCTGCTGCTCTTTACATTGTTTGCAAATTTCATGATGAATGGACCAAAAGAAATGGCCTAAAAAGTCTGGTTCCACTGACTTACATTAAAAGTAAAAGTATATTTTTTCCTTCTCCTGTAAAGTTATTATATTGGAGATATGAGGTTTTGTTCCAACGACAGCCATATAGTAGATCACAAATAAAACAGCATTACCGCCTGAAACTTCAAGCCTTGTAGCAATATCCTTCTAAACGTCTCATTTCAGTTACACTGCTCTCTTTCCTCCACCTCATGGATGTGTATCTCCTCACCCATTTTTGTTGAAAAAGAAACCGGCCGTCTGTCAAAAAAGGCACAGCGTATCACGTCTCAAGGTTTTCTGATGCTCATGGCTGGTGTAGACAACTGCCATGATAATCACTGATTATAATGAAGTGTGCTAGTTTTGTTGTTGCTGCTCGCTCATTGCACTCTAATGGTGCTAGAACAAGGTGCTGGGCTACTACTGCCCTTCGATCACTGTCTCGTTCAGTTCTGCGAACAGACAGAGTAAAAGATGAAGAGGATGAAGGATTATAGAATGACTATCCTTAAAACAGCATCTTCTAAATGACCAGACTGGAAATGGAATGTTGCCAGAATTAAACTGTGAGTTCTCGATTAGATCTTCAGTGAGGGAAAAAATCTGACCTATTTAAAATTACAATCAACTCTTGAGACACCAAGAAAATTAACTTGTAGGGTTGGATTTGTGTTAGTGTCTCTCATGCTGAATGTAAATTAGGATTACACTGCATTAGAGTCCAGATCACTTTCAGTGCCTCATGATACATCTGTTCCGTCTCTTGCTCTCAGGTCTTTGCTTTATCCTTACTTTAATGCCAATGATGCCATTATGCTTGGACTCGCCTTCTTCTCTAGCCACGTTTCTTATGTCTGACTTTCTTAAAATGTTAATAATGGTCACATAGTGAAATTATTAACGCATTTGTGTGTCATTTTTGCATGTAAATTTGTGAAGTATTTATATCCATGACTGTGTTTCCACATTTGCATATATGCATAGGTACGTGTGTGTGTGTGTGTGTGTGTGTGTGTGTGCACGTGTAAGAGAGGGAGAGAGAGTAAGACTTGTTAAAGTCGGGGAAAAAAGAAGTCAGTCAGGGTGTCCGCATGTATTCACTGCTCTTTGGGAAATGAGGCCCAGCAGCAAATCAATAGCAAAGAGGCAGGTGGGGAACCCGCAGAGAGGAGTGTATAAGTGTGTGTGTGTTTATGATTCACTCGTCCAATCTGTTGAGATTACTGAGCGTTAACATGGCAGAATGAGTTATACACAGACCAGACATATCATCTCACACATCAATCTGGCATTAAAGGGGAATTCCACAGATTTTTCTACATTTTTGTATAATTACTTAGCTGAAAACCAGTCATTCTGAGTGGCTTGATGTGAAATTGTGCATTGTAGAGAAAATGTATGGAGCCCGCTGATGAGCCCCAGCCATTTAAGGGGTTAAAAATCAGCTATTTTTCTCTCATTGCATACAGTATCTTCTTTTTACCTGATACACAACTGGGAGTGTTGTGGTGCAGAAAATATACCAAAGCCTTGTTATACTGTGTTACAATATAAGACAACATTCATGTTCACAGAGTTCTTATGAAGAGATATTATAATGCATCATAAAACCTCATATTATAAAGTTGTTTACTCTTATTTTATGAAGTGTTATGCATGTACTTATAGCTACTCATATGAAATTACACAAGCTTATGCCAGGCATTATAAGGTATTGCGCATGTCATATAATGCTTTATAAATGCATCATGAATACAGGATTCATAGGACGTGAAGTGACCAAAACAAAAACAGTGAGAAATATAGAAAGTAAGAGAAAAAGAAGAACAGAGAGAGTTCAGCCAAAGACCTAAGACAAAAACATCCCTGAGACTGACAGCTGGATTGAAGAGATGTGAAGCCCTGAAAGAAAATGCTGGATGGGGTTAGAGAGAACAGCCAGAGAGACTAAAAGAAGCGGAGGGGGTTAAAGGGAACAGCTGTAGGAGAGTAGATGGAGAGCTGTCCTGGATCTCTCTGGATTGAAGGCTTACTGTTCAAAGCGGATGTTGCGCAGGTCGTGGTTATTAATGCGGACGATGCAGTCGTTTTCCTGGAAGAGCGTTTCCCGCTCTGCCTTTCCGCCCTTCTCCAGCCGCTTCACCAGCAGACCCAGCGTCCTGCACAGGGATGGGCAGCGTTAGGATTTTAACCACACTATAACTCTTTTCCAAACTGCTTATTACCACACCAGAGTGGGGATTACACAAAAAATACAGACATTCAGTCAAATTATGTCAAAAACTGAAAAACGTCAAAAACTGAGATACAAGGTTTTCTTCCGACAACAGTGATAAGCTACATTTATGTAAAGCTGGCATAGGCTTCTGTTTCTGAGTTTCTGACATTAATTAGATGTTCTACACTCTTGCACTTTTCATGCCTTACTACACCATGGTAGAGGAAGCTAGCAACTTGATGGCTAGCCTGCCAGCTAGATAATTTCGTTAGCTAATGTCAGTGAATGGCAAGTCTCATATTCAAGCATTAAGATGACTTACTATAAGCAATTTATAAGAAGCACCACACACTTTTGGCTTTACCGTCTTTGAATGGGTTATAGTCTCAATTAAGGGGGTTAGACCCCTTCATCCCTTGTGTGGTGTTCGGGTCAGTGGGACCCATTTTCAATGTTTACCAAAAGAAAAGATGATGCGATTGATTATTATTTCAACCTCAGATTCCTTGGCCTTTGCTCATTTTCTGTGAAGAACATATAAAATAAGACATTTTCACACTTCACACTGTTCACCCCTACACATATATATTACACATGTGGTGTTGGGGTGAACCAGCAGGGAATAAAAGTGTGGAGGTGCTGTGTCCTTCACTCTGTTCTCCTCTTGCATGGCCTGCTGTTAGTGTGCGTGTGTCCATGTGTATGTGTTTGTATATGTGTGAGTGAGTGTGTGTGTGTGTGTGTGTGTGTGTGAGGGTGGACAACATGGCTGCTGACAGGCTACAGCTGCAAGAGCTGACACTTGTGATATTTTAAACATCTGGTATTTTTACATAAATTATTACGGCTGTATTGATTTAAAAAAAAAATGTGGTTGGTCCACCAGACCACTGAGTAACAAAAACATGAACACCAGACCTTCATAATTAGCATCCTGCAATACACACTGATATGACACATTCCAAGACTCAGAGATGCTATCTTATATGCAATACTGCAACAAAGCAAACATGATTACAAAACAGCCCACCGGATGAACTACATGATGCAGAAAACAGAGAGAAAACATTCTGTACTTTGTATCTTTTCACAAAAAGGTCAGAAACAGAGTTTGATTTTCACGGCTATGTGAGAAAATTCTAGTATGTCTGGTATATTTTCAACACTCAGCTAGTGTTCATCAGAGAGTCTTCCTTAGTATGAGGTATACAGGTTTTCCCAAAATAATGATTTGCCGGTGTTCTTTTCCAAATTGTTGTTAAAAGCACATATTGAAAATCTTCTGGGCTAAAGGTGACTGAAACACCTGAAAGGTTTGAGTGCTGATGAGCGCTGACATCACAACAAGGGGATAAAATGTGTGGGCTTTGGCATCATTCCCATAGTAGCTGTTTTGTCAGCTTTTAGCTAGTTTAGCAGGTTTTTGCAAAGAATGAGAGGATCTAAACAGCAAATATCATTTAATATGTCAAGTTATTACAGACATATAAACAGACATTTTTATTACAAAAAAAAACAAAAAAAACGATACATATCGCTGCTGTCTGAACAAAACCTTGTATCTCTATTTTTATAGTTTTTCAGGTTTTGTCATAATTTGAAAATGTCTGTTGCCTTTTTACACTGTGAGTAAATTTCACAATGAATGGACAAAAAGAAATGTATGTGTATATATATACACACTTTGAAAAGCTAGGTGTTTCCAAACTCTGGACAGTCATTGTAGTTTAGTTTGAATATGGCCACAGATGCAGCTATCACTGAGCTACTGGCGGCTCAGCCTTGAGCCTCCACACATCAAAAATGACTTTGGAAAGTTGAGCTGAGGTTTGACATATAGAATTTTTTTGCTGCTCTCAGAAGTGCTGTGGTGTCAGATTGGCAGCTATGTGCTGCGTGCTGTGAAGGGCACCGGCGGGCGTAATCCACAAACCCTGAGATGCGATCATCTCCAGCAGCTGAACTGTGCAGTTACATTTGACGGGCTTAAAGAGGGAGCGGCTAGCGCAGGTGGAAAAGAAGAGATGTAGGAAAAGTCTCTGTCACATCAGCATTCCCTCACCACGCTCAACCTTTCCCTTCAAACACTGCAAATAAATAAATCAGACGCTCCTCTGAGGGCTCGGATGTGCTGCATGTATGTGTGCACACCAAAAGGACGGGTGAAAGATCTGATGAGCCGACAGACAGCAAAACTCAGCCTGAGTTTCAAAGCAACCAGCAAGAGACTAGGCTTTTAATATTCTGATATTATAGAGAGAGATAGAGAGAGAGAGATAGATGGAGAGAGAGGAAGAGAGAGAGAGAGATTAAAGCCCTTTATTTGACCACTGTGCACTAACCTTCAGACACTAAAGACAAACTGATAAATGGGCTAATTATGCTTGATCAAGCTAAATTTAGGCACATGTCGATACCTTTATATACTCCTCTAAATCTACATACTGATACACATCCATCCCCACCATCTGAGAATGCTACCCAGATACTGAAAGAAAGGATCAAAGTTGTCTAAACTTGATAAATCAGTAAAAAGTACATATGTTTAAAGGGTGCTTTACAATTAAGTTAATTTGCCAATGACCAACATGACAACACACTTATTAACATCTACTCTGAGTCTCTGAGTGCTTCGGTAGCATGGTAGCCACTTTAATGCAAGTAGTGTGTTCACACTGGAAAAATGAAGTAGGGTGTTATGCACAGGTATTGTCCAGATGAAAAATAAACTATGCCACTTTGGACACTCTGCACTCCGTAGTTGAGGCTGCCATATGTAGTGAATGAGAGGAGCCTGGAGAGTCTGCTCCAGTTCAAAATTTCAAACAAGAGTTGGTCTCACTGTCTCTCAGTAACAGGGGTATCAGAACATTAGAGATGGGGGGGTTGGATCTGAACTCTCCAGGACCAGGACTGGACACTCCAGATCTAGAGTGTACAGAAAAAACCTTTGTTTATAACAATCCCTACACACTTAAAAAAGATGATTCTTTAAGGGTTCTTCAATGCTCTGAGAATGCTCTGTATATGTTTTTTTATACATCATCCAAAAGGGTTCTGCTATTGTTACAATCTCAAGTTTATAACAAAAGAAGAATCTATTTTTGGTTCTATATAGAACTTTTGTGAACATGGTTCTATACAGCACCTGAAAGGATTCTGCTATTGTTACAAGTTTAAGCTTGTAGCAATACAAGGACCTCTTCTGGTGCTATACAGAACAATTTCCCTTCGTTTTATCCTAGTTAAGGTTGAAAATTCTGAGAGCTTTAGTCAAACACAGCATTAATTCTTTACCAACTCTTAATATAACACTGATTAGAGCTGCAGGAGAATCACCAGGATATACTATAAAGCCGGCGGTATACTTAAAAAGCAGCACTGTGCTTCACAACCGCATGTTTAATGGAAATTCAATTTTGTTTAGTTCTCTCAGCATTTCTCATCATTTCAAACATACTGCTGGCTTAAGGCTAGAGGACTGGTCAAACCCCAGACTCTTTTGTTCTTCGATCATTAATATATTTTTTAAGAGATCATAACATTTAAGAGTGCTGACATTTTACTGGTTATTTTTATAAAGTTAGCGTTGTTTCCAAACACACAGACAGACTATATGTGTGTGGGAATTGTGAGAGATACTGAGCAAGACAGAGAGACAGAGAGAGAGAGAGAGCGCAAAAGAGTGTATGAGAGAGAGAGAGAGCACGAGAGAGAGAGAAAGAGAGAGAGAGAGAGAGAGAGAGAGACAGAGAGAGAAAGAGAGAGAGAGAGAGAGGCAAACAAACAAATGGCCTCAAACCATTGCATGGTACCAAGTCAGTTTTTTAGGTTTAGGAGAGTCACTTACTAGAGAGTAATGACACACAGTGTGGAAGTGGAAGCAGTGTGTGCTTTATCTTCATAATGTACACACTAAGTGACCAGGCATATGAGCTACACACCCACAGGGTTGATCCAAAACCTCCAGTGCTTCACTATTTGTAGTATTTTAATGGACAGACTGTGACTGAAGTGAACTGAGACTAAGTCTGACGTGCTACTCCAGACTCAGTCTCTTGTTTGGCCCAATTTAGATCAGCGCTGACAATTAAAGGGTCCATAGCCTACAGTTTTTCTAGTTTTTCCCCTGAGGTCCACTTATAAGTTTTTGTTTGGTTTAGATAACAAAAACACGCTTCATAATTCATTTTTACATGACCTTCTTCCAGCATCCCTTTATCCCATTCAACTCTACAAGCTGTTTTTGTAACTGTGCCTGAAAGACTTTGGTGCTGTGCCACAAACACCTTCTGCTCTCATTGGCTGTCCTGTCTTGTGTCTCACTCAGAAAAGCAGTCCAGCCTGAAACACTTCTTATAGCTTCAGTGTAAATGGGATTACTAAACTGCTGTTGAGTTAATGAGCTATATGTAAATGAGCTGAGTCTTGATTAGCTGTCTTTTATTGCATCTCATTTAAGCTCACCAGACAAAAAAATAGTCATGTTATGTCCCTCTGTAAGACGATGAGCAAAAGGCAAAATCTGGTTGTCCAGCAGCTCAGTGTAGGCACTGTGGTTCAAATTTACTGTCACCTCAACCAAAGGACCCATTTCCACGTAATGAAAACACCCCTAGAACAACACAGAGGCTCCTCCAGCTTGAACCGCACCTTGCACACAGTCCACACTGAAGGCTTCCTGAGTTCTATGATGAACACGACGCTGAGCATCATTCACATACAGGCAGGAACGAGATTCATCTGACCAGATAACACGTTTACAAACATAAACAGTCCAATTTTTGTGTCTCTTCGTCCACTGTAACCAACAACTTTGTGAGCAGAAGTGAGTAAAGGCCTCTTGCATGTCACTCTGCTCCATATGTTCATGGTATGCAGTTCCCTTCAGAGAGTTCTTTCAGAAATTGGTTGTGAAGGACCTATGTTGACTTCTAGAAGCAATTCCTACCTGGAAGCGAAGTGATTTTTATTCACAAACCATGAAACACATTGGCAGTCACTATTCGTCAGGTCCGTCTTTCGGCCATGGAGTTCTGCTTGGCTGCCCTCTTTTGTAATTAATTCAAAAAGCACTCAGAGTCGAAATACTCCTTATAACTTCGGTATGGACGGGTGGGGCTAAATTGCCGTAGGCTGAACAGTTGGATATATGTTAATGAGTTGGTTCTCATGACATCACAGAAACAAAAAATTCAAAACAGGCTGTTTTTGAAGCATAGTTTCCTTAGATGGATCATATGGACACTTTGAAACTTCAACAACGTTTACATATTACATCAAAGTTCTTTCCTTCAAAAAAAGCAAGGAGAAGTCGTGTTTTCCATGATATATGGCGTTTAATAGGGAGCCTGTAGCCTCAGAGCCACGAGTTTCTCTTAAAGTAGCTGAAATCACTAATTAAAAGAGGTGTCTGGCTTCATTTGAACATATAGTGTATATATTGTATAAAGCAGGGAGTGAACAGCAGATTCTGAAACTTTAACAATGTTCATATAGTACTTTCTTAACTCAAAAATGCAAGGAATACTTGGCCTTCCATTATACGGGTGGTGTAAATGTAGGAGCGTTGTCTTGGAGGGGCTGCGGAATCACGTCTCAATCTAGAGTCATCCCAGCTGCGAGCCGGCGCTGCAGTCATTACGAGAGAGTCAGGCGTGACTGGTCGGAGCTGCAGCTACTTCATCATTATCTGAGCGGTGGCAGAGCCGCCTGTCGCTTGAGTGATGGTCCACAATGCTTAGCAAGAAGGAGACCACCTGTTCTCCTCCACTGCCTTTAATTGAATAATAATGCAATCAGGATCCATTTATGTGCCGCAATTACACCGCCGGCTTGTTTACAGTTCACACTGGCCACGGGATGAGATCTCATTATTGGACTAATGTATCCACAACTCTTTGAGAGTGGCATGTGTGTTTCTCTGTTTCTACTGCAGATGTTTCATTTCAGTTGCAGCACGAAGAGAGACAGCAGCTGTTTGAAGAGTTTTCTCGCTCTCTTTCTTTTGCCGCCCTTGAGCTGACCCCACTGCCCTCTATCAGAATGCTAATGAGAGACGGCACACTGTAGCCAATGTCAATCAGCCTGCCACAGGCACTGATGAAGCCATTAGGAGCATAACGCAGAGACACTGTGTTTACTGTGCTTGGGGATAACTGTTGGCTTTCAACGGTCATTACATAGAATCTCAGGAGCTGGAGAGGCATCTGGAGTAGGATCTTGAGCTCTACAGCCAGGACAAATTACTTTTGTCTGTTGCGTGAAGGACTCTGGAAAAGTCTGAATGTTTAAGGGGCTGACTTGCATGGAATTAATGCAATTTAATTGTGATAAAATATGCACTTCGTTAGATGGAAAGCACTGACAATATCTCACATCACTATGAAATCAAATTTCATGTCTTTGTGAAGCATCTGGAGCAGCATCTATAGCACTACAGCTAACAGCTACAAGAAGGCAAGGACAAATCACTTTTCTTTAGTCCTTTAGTAAAAGTCAACAGTCTGAACACTTAAGGGGTGACTCGCATGGAATTAATGCATTTTGACTGCATTAAAACATGCATGATAAAAGATCACATATGATGAAATGTACCGACATCTTACTATACAAGTAAATCAAAATAGCGCACATTAAATACATACAGATTTCTAATTGACCCTATATCTCAAGCATTTGGAGTAGCATCTACAGCACTAAAGGAAAGGATGAAGGTTAAAGGATGTAGCTAAAGGGAAAGATGAAGGTTAATCATTTATGCACTTTGATTTGATTAAAATGCGCTCAATATGACCACAGTTGTACAAACACAATCTGTTACACATTATAACTAAATAAGAATATTATGAAATGTCATTTTCATATATTTCATATCTATATCCTAAAGAAGCATGAATAAAAATGAAAAGACAAAGACAAGTCACTTTAGTATTTTTAGTAAAGGAGTGAACGGAAGTTTGATTGTTTAAGGGGATGACTTGCATGGAATTAATATAATTTGACTGCATTGAAATCTGTATCATAAAAGACCAAATATGAATTGTACTGACATGGGCTACCATGCACTAATATTTTAAAAGTTTAATGGAGCAATTTGCATGAAATGACTGGCTTTTCACAGTATTAAAGTACACATGGTAAAAGATGGAATGCACCAACATGATCTATCTAATATTATAATTAAATCAAAATATGATTCATGAAATGTATCGAGCTTTACATCCTGTGTCTATTTTTGGCTGCCAGCATCAGTCTTCATAAGAGAAGGACAACAAATATTTATAGCTCCTGAAACACTCCAGAAAAATCCTTTTATGACTCTTATCCAGTACATCTGATGATGAGGCAGACTTTGGTTCGTTCATTAGTGAATATCCTGTGTTCGGCCGACCTTGGTGAAGGAGCCACTGTCAGTGCTTGAGACGAGCTTTTACCCTGATTGGGTGAGACGCTTTAGCTGAATTGGCTTGGCTAGTTCGAGGGCCCCCAACGACTATAAAGCCATGTCTCATTCAGCCCTGTATCTCATGTGTCCTCTCTCTACAGGGGGCAAAGTTTCAAAACTGCTGCTGCTGCCACTGCCCTGAGTTTACTCTCCCAAGACCCAAGCTATTGAAGCCACAGTTTATTATTCAGCCAGAGCCCTGCAAAGAAGGCATAGAAAACGGCACGCACAGTCAAGGAGAAATCGCCCGCATTTCAGTGGCATATTGTTGAGGAGTCCTTGAGGAGGAGGGAAAATATGCCTCTCTTTGTGGAAGCAAACCGGTTGTGTGATAAGATGTGCTATGGAGAGAGCAAGAAGAAACGCAGAACAAAGTCAATCACGGTCAAAACCTCCAGAGAAGAGCTGTGAGACGGAAGAGAGAGAGAAAGAGAGCAAACAGGGGTCGAGGACAGAATGTATCTGTGCGGCTAACGAGCTAGCCCTCAAACAGCACCAAAAAAAAGGCATGAGGGAAGAGAGAATGAAAGACAGGTAAAAGAGATGGAAGTAGAGACCACACTGTGAGCGATGCCACAAAGGAACACCTTTTGGCTCCCTAAAGAACCTTTCAGTGGATGGTTCTCTGAAGAAGTATTTTTGTAAATGGAGAAGATCCTATTTTAAAGTTTAAAGAACTTCCACATAACAAAAATGTTCAAAATCAATCAGTGTTTGTTTTTTGTCCCTCAAAACTGCACATCTAAAACAAGAATAACACTGGAACCTTTATTTTTAAAGGGTGTAGCAGGTTAGCGTCATGGCTGAATGGAGGTTTACCTTCTGTCTCTGGAGCTGAATGGAACTACATGGATACCCAAGGGCCCACCGCCATTTGACACCTCGACTGGCTTCAGCATGTCTCTGGGGTGGGGATAATAATAATAAAAAAAAAGTAAATAAAAAATTAGCCAAAAAGTTAAAAAAAAATAAAAAAATACAAAACAACAAAAGAAAACACAGACAACAGTGCAGAACAGGACAACCCAGCTGTTGGACTGGGTGGGAGCATGAAGGCCACAGTAAGGATTTTCAGCTCGCCTGGATCTCTTTCTACAGGGGGCCATCTATAATCCAGACAGCCATTAAGACACTGTGGGTCGATGAAGGACCCAAATAGACACTTCAATTAAGTGATTAGGATCAGACTGAGGCCTGCAGTAGGCTTGGGGGGTTGGTTTGAACAGTAGAGAGTGAGCCACATCTGTGCGGGGGAAGCCCGAAAGTATGCAATGGGAACCCAGAGCGAGAAAGAAAACAATAAAAGGGCAGATTAATGAAGATGAATACATGCAATGAAAAGGTGCCATTGGCTTTTTTCATTTTACTGACTGTGAGGGGAACAGTGTGTTACAATAATTTAAAGTCACTTTTATTAGCCCCAGTGCTGTACTTATTTGTACTGGATTTAAAATCAATCAAGCCGAATTGTCATAATTGTCATGTTCCAGAGTCCAGCTGAATGCTACAGGGCACTGTAACAGATTCGGAAAGTTTTTGGAGAGTGTGATCAGTTGCAAGCACTAACACAGGTACATACATACATACATACATACATACATAAATAAATAAATAAGATTGGAGCTTACTCTAGATTGAGCGATTCAACACAGGAGTCAGCCCGGCCCACCGGTTCAATCCGTCCATTCCTGCCTTCGTCTCTCCTCCTTTCTTCTTCCTCTTCATCCTGTGGAGAACAATAACAGTGAGAAAACAGTGAGAGTGGAAACACTTTTAATTAAGGATGCTCTAATCCAATCTGGCACCGTCTGTAAAGATGCGTAAAACATGTCTAAATGTTATTGAGCTGAATTCTCCACAGAAAATGAGAGAAATCAGTAAATTTAGTTTAAGAAAATAAAATCACTATCAATCTACATAGTTTTAATGAAAACCCCATGTCACAATTACTGGTACCCTTGCATTTATTACTTTGTGCAACCTTTCTTTGCCAATGTAACAGCAGTGAGTGTTCTCCTTTAATACAGAATCCCTGAAGATCCTATGGGATTCTCTCAACTGGGCTCTCTACTTCAGCTCACTCCTCAGGTTTTAAATGGGGTTTAAGTCAGGGGACTGGAGACATGTTTCCATTTAAAATTGCCTTCATGGAGTCCATGACATCATGCATCCAACGAGGTTGGCAGGGCATTTGGTGAAAAAAAAATGCTTTTATAAATATAAAATTCCTTCTTTATACACCCACCTTCAGTGTTTGTTGACAGAAAACTCTACTCTGTCTTATCTGAGAGATAGAACCCAGTTCCACTCAACCTTCCAGTAGCATTTAGTGAACACCAGGCACTTAAATCTTTGGACAACACAAAAGGCTTTCTTCTGTCACACCTTCCAAATAGTTTGTTAGCATGGAGGTGTGAAGAATTTGTGACTACTATCTTCTTCAAATCTCCAACCATGATAATTTTTGCATATGCATCTACCTCACTGTACATGGGGACTAAATAAACTTGTGTCCTGTCCCAGGCACGTTCACTACAGCTCTGGTTGTTTAAACTTCTTAAATTATAACCCTAACAGTGAATAAGGGTCACTCTACTTGCATTTATTTACAGCTGTTGTAAAGCTGACAAACAATTATTATCCACAACCTGTGGCAGTCAATCACATTTTCAATAGTTAACAAGCAGTTTAAATGCCTGCAGTGAGGAGCTAATTTAAAGTGGAAAATGAAAACAGCTACTAATAAAACTTGCAATGCCAGAGTTTAAACAACAGGAAAGTCAAAACGAAAGCCTTTCGTCAAAAGAGTTAAACTAGCCACATGTAAAATGTTAACATGTGGTTATTATACACTCAGCAGTAACAGCACATTGAAAGCCAAGAAAAGAAGTAGACCCACATAGTGAATGTCACAGCAATTTGAAAGCAGCTGACTGAAGACAACATAAAATAATAAAATAAATGTAAAACTTAGAACTAAAAATGAGTCTGAAAGTCTGACTCAGCAGCTATTTAGTATCAAAATGACTCAGATGGGATGTTTTTTTTCTTGCTTTCTGAAAGCTGAGGCCTTTACTTCATCCTTATTTTACAATGCCACTTTTGCCAGATGCCTAGATTATAGTAGCAGCTACTTTTGTCAGGGTGACTCATAGAGTGTTTAGCTGGTCCTAGACCAGGAACAGTGTAAGAGAAAAGATGACCGTAATCGATTCCTCAAACTCAGTCAATCAGCCAGGGGTCACCAGGGCCTGAGCCTGCAGCTAATCTGATAAGGAAAGGGCGACTCGCTGAGGCACATTTGTTTCTTCCACTCTCTTCCATTACATCCCCGCTGCCTCCCTCTCTCTCTCTCTCTCTTACTCTCAACCTCAAAGTCCACGTCATGTACAACTTCATGCCTTCAGCACGACAGATATTTTTTCCAGAAAGTCAATTCACAAACCTTGACGTTTGCTATCAAGGCATGTCAAGCTAATGACATTGGTTTGTGTTTGCTAGTGCCTTCATTCCCCATTTCACTCTGGTTCTCAAGGGAACAAGAAAGGGAACTCAAATCCGCAATCAAGTGCGTCCGCACTTAATGGGGGAAATATCTGCATAATGATAGGTGAATATTCCCCTCTCTAATTTCGCTCAGGCCCTTGACTGAGGGATCATTTCCAAGGCCAAGTGAGCGTCTAGACGGCAGGCGTGAAGCCCGCGCCGGTTTGTTAGCCACCGATATTAATATTCCGTCAGTCTCACCCTTAACCTTCGCCTCTCGCCGAAATGTCAAGCACAGCTAAATAAGCGCTTCGCCGTCTTTATATGGAAATGCATTCAGCCTTTTCAGACAGTCACCCTCCACCAAACGCGTCCTACGGCCTGGAGAGGCTGTCTGGCTCCCTCTCTCTCGCTCTCTCCTCCCATCTCTCCATCTCTCTTCCCCTTCTATCTCCCTTTCATTGAAGAGGTTAAAGAAAGAGGTCATGAAAATTTCATCAGAAAAAAACCTGAGGAAAAAGCAGTGAGTCATCCAGAACTACTGCCTGTGAAAACGAGTCAATCACCTCCTGTCTCCTACTGTCGGTGCCTTAATTACATGTCACCCAAACATTCATTTATATGAAAAACAGCAGGGAGTGAAGATGGGGGGGGGGACGTGTTCTGACAATGATCTCTTATGTGAACCTGTTTCAGGATTCCTATTCAGACTTCTTTCCAAAGAAGAAACAAATCACTCAATTTAAGTCAGACACTGATCTAAATTACATGTATATGCACATACAGAGGGTACTGCACTCTGACACAAACAAACACAGTTGCTGTATTCAGTGGAAAGGAGACAAACAGAAGGGCGTAAGTATATACTTAGAGGTAGAAACAAAGGTCTCTGAGACGGCATGCTGTGTGCATGAAGCCAAGAGAAGGCCAGTCTTGCGGAATGCTGTGATTGGCTCGGATTGCAGCACATGCTTTTGTGTTGTTTCTGACAGCTCTAAGATGGCACGGAGGAGCCAGGCTGCCTTCCATTCATCAAAACTGACACTGACAAGTCATTACATCCAATAACAGAAAACTACTCAAGATATCAAGAATTCTAGAGCATAGTTGGATAGTGTGTGAGAGAGAGAGAGAGATAGTGAAATTTAAAGGGAGAGTCAGAGAAACTGGGGGAGAGCAGGAGAGAGAGAGAGAGAGACATTTGGAGAGAGATGCATCTTCAGTTTCATTGTTTGTGGTGAGAAATCATTATGTGAAGTGAATGCAGTCTTAGTGTGTCTGTATTTGGCTGTAAACTATGCAGCAATAATAGAGTCAAATAAAAGGTGGTCAGCGGAAAGCGAGCCCTGTAGCTGGCTAAAGAGCCACTGTGAAGAGGCAACGATTCATACTTTCTGAAGGTTAGACTTACCGGTCAGAGGACAGAGAGTAGAGTCCCTCATACAGAAAGAACTGCGTCTTTCTCTCTGGCATGAGAAGCAATGAGAGAGAAAGAGAGAGATAGAGAGAGAGAGAGATGTAGGCTGGCAGCTATTGTCCAGCTTTGTCCACCTGCCAAAGCAGAGGCATTTAGCCAGGGAGGAACGCTAACTTCACTGAAAGCCTCGTTTATCATCCTCCCCTGAGCCCTACTGGACACTGCTGGACCCCACACTACGAGAGGAGAGGTCATTTTCACCAGGATCCCCAAGGGGACAGCTTCACTTCAGCTTCAGTCGCTGAGTCCTTCACTGCTAACGTGTCAGTGGGGCACAGTTACTCACACACACTTGTATATGTGTGCGCACAAAGTGTGTATGTGTGTGTATCAGATCTGGGCTTGGTCCAGGAGCCACTCAGCCCTGCACCGCCAGGAAGCCACAGGTTACGAGGCTGGTGATTAGACAGGCAGTGCATTAGATTATTGAGGCCAGGAGGGAGGGAGGGGGGGAGTGGGAGAGAGGGAGAGAGGGAGGGAGAGAGAGAGAGAGAGAGAGAGAGAGAAAGAGAGAGAAGGAAAGAGAAGGAAAGAGAGCACACACATGGTTCAGTGCTGTGAGCTTACAGCTAAGGTGGCTCTCTCAGCGGAAAGCAGGAGCAAAATAGATGAGCTCCAGGCTGGCCTCAGCCACAAGAAATGAGCTCTTGGTTAAAGCAGTTGTTCAGCCATTTGCCTTTACTGCAAAAGTACTCAATCAGCTAAGAGATGTTTGATGTCTGAAGTTTGCTTTTTTAGTTTTGCACTAGAATGAGCTATGAAACTAAGGTACTCAACAAATAATGAAAGCTTATAGCCACCATTTATTTAAACTACACATCTAAATCATCACGCATTGCCTCAAACTGTTAAGTCATCTAAACAGACTCACTTCTGTTGGTTCTTATACTGTATGGCCCTGTTCATATTTAGTTTGACATCCATCTTCAGCGATCTGAACACAAGTGGACAGAGACACTTACGTTAACACCTGGCATTTCCACGGGTTTTGAAAATGTCTAAAGTGACCATATGTGTTTAGATTTTGTGATGGGAGGATGAGGCCCATATTTACTATGTCAGTTTCTTTTGCTATCAGATAGAAATGCCCCATGAGTCTTTATTTGTGTACAAGTACAAACAGTTTCAAACTTATAAACAAACAGAAGAGAAGGTGTGCTGCCTGCTTATGATCAAATTACCCAAAATGTCTGTTAAGGCTAGGCATGAATGCTTAAAGATGCTATGCTGAAAGATGGCTGCTACTACTGTTTTTACTATGCCACTACTGTCCATTTGGTAGATAACAAACTTTGTATTTAGACTGAGACTAGTGTGGGAAGTGAAAAATTCTGGATTCTGTATTTTCTTTGTAAACCATCCACTTTGACTGCCCCAAAATTTGCAGACTAAGGAGGCCTAAGAGCACAGACTGACTCATGACTATGTATTGTGGCAAACCTCGGCAGAACTGGTGAAACAAAAGCCTGGATTTTAAGGAAGCCTTTAGAAATGGAGTGAGAACAGGGTGCCATAACCCAGCATAGTATTCCTGTAATTAACTAGTTCATTCTAACAATCTTAGGCAGGGTTATCATTAAATTGTGCTGGAATCCAGCCCTTCAAGACTGAAGCATCCCACTCCTGTTTTAGAAGGACCTTCAGCCCATCCAGAGGACACTGAAGGAGGCCTGGGTGACAGCAAAGTGGACTCTGAGGCTGCTGTTTTTGACAGCAGTGGACATGCCCTCAGGCTGTGGGAAAGGGTCATATAGTGGGGGGTC